AGGACGATACTGGACATCAATAGCAACCTGAAAACCATAAAAAGTTGCAATAAAGCACCGAAAATAACGTCAAGATAGAAAATAACAGGCTACAAAAGTAATTCTTACACCAACAGAAGAGGTGCCTTGGCGTAGCAGCTGATGAGTGTCATTTATGGCACTCATTTGGCCTCTTTTAGGATGATTTTCATACTTCTTTATAGCCTTTTTCCTTAGTTTTGTTCTTTATTTCGTTAGTTTGTGCTTTCCATAGTTAGTTTCCTTGTTTTGTGCATTTCTTTGTTTATTTGTTCTTTTTCCCTTTTATTTGTTTGTTTTCGTTTGTTTTTAGGTTATGATCGTGTCTCCCAGGATTCCCGAGCCTTCCTCTCGTATTTATCATCAATTTGGATGCCTCATGTTCGCCTTTCGGAGCTTCAAGTGTGAAGGACTGCAAAGAGAAAGTGAAGAGATCGGTGCACGTATGCGGTGGGGGCGTCATCTTTGCTATGAACCCACCAAAATGGCCCTTTCAAGACTTCCTTCCTTGTTGTTCATCATCATCATAAAGACGAGCCCACGAGGATGAGCTTGGACGAAGAAGGGGGGGCACCCCTGCTGCCAGGTGCGGGCGCACATGAGGGTGGTGCGGCCGCGAACCTAGGTGGCGCGGGCGCGCCTAGTGCGGGTGCGCCTGCCAGGGCCCCTGTTCCGTACCCTTTTTCCCTCCTCTGATGCCAGGGCCGCGCCTCTCCTCTAATGCGACCTCGCCTTCCGGGGTTTCTTTTGGGACGATCTAACTAACTCTTCTTTTGTATCTTTCCTATACATAGTTTTTCCTTTTATTTTAGGAGAGATAAGGAAGAGGTGAATTAGAACAGAATTAGAATTAGTTTTAGATAAAAAATTAGAGAGATTTTTAGAGAGAGAAACTCTAGGTTTTAGTGAGAGAAATTCATGGTGGATTGTTGATGATTGAAGCTTTCTTTAATTCCTTTGATCTTTGATCAAGATTGTAAAATTTCCTTTTCTTTAATTCAATCTTTAGTTTGATCTTTAGTTTGATTTCAATTGTTTGTTGAATGTTCAAGTTTGATTGAAGTTTTATTGATATGTGTTTGATTTTAGCTTGTTTGATTTGATCATGATGAATTTGTTGCTTAGTGTTGTTTTGATTTTGATTTCAATGGCTAGTGAGTAGATTGATTGCTAGGGTAATGGTGAAGCATGTATGAGTAAGGGATTAAAGCTAATTTGGGAAAATTGATGGAGTTGACTATGTGATTAAATTGGTTGATGATCATGTGCATGTGTGTGATTAATTAAAGAGTAGCTAACTTTGATTGCTGCACTATATTGCATTGTAAGTTTGCATTGGTACGGACCATTGATTTGTGGCTTGCATTTACACGATTGAGGTGTCTTGTGATGTTTCCTAGCTAGAGTTTATCGTAGTTAACGCTAGTTAGACCTCTAGGAGAATAGCTTGATATGCTCTTTTGGTTGCATGATTGATTTTCCCTCACATTGCTTGACTTAGTCAATTTGACCTCCCAATTAGTTGAATTAGTTATGATTACATGTGGATCCTACCCCTAGTGTTTATTACATTTGATTTCTTCTCGTTTATTAGTCGTCTTTGTCCTAGCATAACATTCACACCCAATCATTACATTTCGGAATAGCTTGACCATAGACAATAGATAATCGCCCACCATTCCTTTGGGTTCGACCCTCAACTTACCATTATACTTGTGTAGGGGTGTGTTGAGTGTTTACAAATTTTGTTTGGCCTCGGGTAGGGGTTAGTTTCAACGACCTAGTCTTAACCCGCGTCAAAATGGCACCGTTGCCGAGGAACGGTGTTGTGATTTTGTATTGTTTTTTGAGTCTATTCCATCTTATTCAAAAATACAAAAAGATTTTTCTTCTTTCTTTTAGGCTACACTTGTAGCCGTGTTTCTAACAATTTCTTTTGAGCTTTTGCATGCATAGTAGAACTCGTGTTAGGTCCTTAGTTCCTTTGGATCCGGAAATTGAAAGTACTCTTTCACGAAGAAGGGTAGCCAACCGGTCTTTGAGCCTAAGTTCCTCAAGTGAAGAAGAATTTGGGGAAGAAGAAGAGTAAGCCATGGGAGAGAATCCAAGAGTAGCTTTGAAGGAGTTGGGAATTCTCGGTGCTTATAGGTTTGAGAGTGGCATTGCTCCACCTACAACACCGGTGAATGATTTTAAAATTAGACCGACCATGATTACTTTGATAGAAAGGAGGCAATTTAGTGGAGCCAAGAGTGAGATCCCGTTGAATCACCTAAAGGAATTTGAGAAGTATTGTAATACTATCAAGGTGAACGACATTTCTCAAGAGTTTATTCGGCTAAAGTTGTTTCCCTTTTCTCTTATTGGTCGTGCCTTAGTGTGGTTGGATAAGGAGGTTAAGACAAATTCCCTTAGGACATGGGATGAAGTCACCAAAGCTTTCTTATCTCGCTTTTACCCACAAAAGAAGACGACGGAGGCTAGAGCCTTGATCCAAGGATTCAAACAAAGGCCTAATGAGAATCTCTACGAAGCATGGGAGAGGTACAAGGAGTACCAAAGAGAGTGTCAACATCATGGAATTCCTACCTATCAAGTGATACAAATTTTCTATGGAGGCTTGAGTGCTCAAGGCAATTCATGCCTAGATGGAGGAGCCGGAGGTCCTATAATGAATAGGACGGAAGAAGAGGTAGTTGACATAATTGAGGATGTGGTGAGATACTATAGAGATTAGCAAGAAGGAGAGAGGGAGTCTACGAGCAAGAGTGGCTCGACGGTTTATTCGGTGGATCATCTCAATGCGATTAACATCTTGTCCTCTCAAATTTCAAATCTAGGGAAGGAAGTGACGTCGATCAAAGCAAAGCTTGAGAGTGTTTCTACGAATTCATTGAGTCTTCCCTCCCAATCTAAAGGGAGAGGTACATTTTCTAACTCTTCTCTTTCTACTTCCAATAATATGCCAAGTGGTTGTCTATTTTGTGATTCTTGTGGATCTTATGATCATGATTCTTCTATGTGTTCTCAAACTTTTGTTGATGGATGTGATGATGTTGAAATTAATGAATATGAACATGTGAACTTTGTGTCTAATGTCAATGGTGGTCAAAGATTTGATGGACCTAAAAATTTTAGTAATAGGAATTCTCACCCCCAAGGTGGTTTCGATAACTACAACAATGGAGGCTATAGGAACCAAGGAAACCAAGGTTTTTGAGGTAACTATAACAACCAAGGCTATAGTAATCAAAACCCGAGCCATGGGTATGGTAACCAAAGTCAATCTCAAGGCTTTGGTATTCATTACCATAATGGTGGAAATAATCAAGGCCGTGGCAATTGGAACAACAACCAAAATCGGGGAAGTTTTCAAAATAACAACCAAAGGGGACCCCCACCGGTTTTGCTCCAAAGCCTCAAGGCAATGGTGAAAATTCTTATTCCCAACCATCATCATTTAAGACAAATTTGGAAGAAATGATTGATAACCAAACCAAGATCATCAACACATATATGGCGGTGAGTGACAAGAAATTTAATGAGATGACGACTCATAACAAAATGCTGGAGACACAAATAACCCAACTAGCCAACACTCTAAAGGATTGTGCTAGTCCATCCTCTTTGCCTTCTCAAGGAGTGGAACCTAAGAAACCCGTTTATTCTATCACCACTAGGAGTGGGAGAGTTCTTAATGAGGGATCTTCTAGGTCCATTGAGGAGGATGAGGAGAGGAGTGACCCAAGAGTGGAAGTTGAGAAGTTTGAGTCTAAGAGTGTGAGTTATGAGGAGGTTCAAGAGAAAAAAAGGAGTAGTGAGAAAGAGCGTGAGGAAGTGCGGAGACCCGATCTTCCATACCCACAAAAATTCTTGAGGCACAAAATTGATGAGCAATTTGGAAAGTTTATTGCTATGCTCAAGGAAGTTCACCTTTCTATCCCCTTCACCGATGCAATTACCCAAATGCCTAGGTACTCTAAGTTCCTTAAGGAGATTTTGAGTGGGAAGAGAATGTTCAATGAAGTTAATTCGGTTGAAGTTGGGAGTTGTTGTAGTGCTTCGATTCAAAATGAGTTGCCCAAGAAGATGGAGGATCCGGGAAACTTCTCTATTCCATGTGAGATCAAAAGGAAAATGTTTAATAATGCTTTTTGTGATCTTGGAGCTAGTGTGAGCGTCATGCCTTATTCCATTTTCAAGAAACTCGAGCTATGTGAGCTACTCCCATCTAACATAACCCTTTTTTTTTTTTTTTTTTTTTTTTTTTTTTTTTTTTTTTGGAAAATAAGATTTTATTACCAAAGAGAGAAAGTTACAACTTACAAAAGCTAAGTTATAACTACCACCAGAACACCAAAAGACCTGAAAACAACAGGCCAACCCCACAACCAGTTCTAGATCCAAACCTAGCCAACTTCTAGGAAGGACCTAGAACAACTGGACTCAGATTTCCGGCCACCTTCTAGGAAGGGTTCCGGAAACCAGGACCAGACAACAAACAACCAGGAAAACAACAAAACCAAACACCCAAAAGACACCAAAACCAACAGTCAGGAGCAGACAAGCCTGCAAACTAACAAGAAAACTAATACAACAAAAAGACAACAATAAAAGAACCAAAGCTAGCCTCAACTACAGAAAACAAAGCACAAAACATTAGATAGCTGCACAGCAGCACCAACAGCAGAGCACACCACCAGCAGCTAGGCAAAGCAGGGCAAAGAGCAGCGCAGAAGCTGCAAACCAGCAGTACAACAGAGAAGAAAAGCAGCAGCAACAAACACCACCCACAGCCTACAGCAGCAACAACAACAGCACCAAAACACCAGAGCAGAGGCACACCCAGCAGTGCAGTAGTAAACAACAACACACAACAAAACACAGCAGACCACCCAGCACCAAAAGAAGACAGCAGGCAGCAAAGCACTGAGCAGATCAGAGCAGCAGCATAAAAATAGAACAACAAGGCAGCAACACCACTAGACAACAGCAGCACACTGCAGCAACAACAAAAGCACCAGAACAGCAATGCAGAAGCCAAACCTGCAGGGCAGACAGCAGTGCATAGCAGTGCACAGCAAAACACCTAGTAGAGCACACCACCAAAAGCACAAAGACAACAAGCAAACAACAAAACCAGCATAAAAAGAACAGCAAACAAAACAAAACAACGGGAACCTCAATTGAAAAAGAAAGAAACCAGAACACACGCACAAGGAGCCCGAGACAAGCCCTAGACAATCAAATATTTTCTTCCCGCCGGGATTCTACAAACTGAGTGAAAGACAATATCCCGAACAAGTGCATCAATTGATTTGCAGCATTCAGTAAAGAGAACTGCATTCCTTTGAATCCAAATACCATAAACTGTTTCAGTGAAGGCCACCTGGATCACTTTATTCTTTAATCTGGAACTTCTGCAGATTTTCTTCATCCAATCAATCTCATCACTAAACTGCTGAACAGGCTTGGAAACACGCAAGATCCCCAAAACCTTACTCCAAACCTTCCTAGAGAAATCACAATCAAAAAATAGATGCTGAACACTTTCATTGCCATTCAAACAAAGGAAACATTTTGGATCACAAGAGATGTGCCATTGAAGCAACCTATCCTTAATGACAAGCCTATTCCATAAAGCTATCCACAAGATGAAAACACTCTTGGGAGTTGCTAAGTTATGACAAGTAACTCTCTTCCAAGGAACTTTAGGCACTTGAGGCCTAATAGCAGCATAAAGCTTCTTGATTTTCAACTTGTTGCCCTGAACGAAACCATCCCATCCCCCTTGATCATTCACAATATCTCTACAACTCAAAATCTTCTTCAAAAACCAGGAGCATCTAGCAGGGGTAGGAGTGGTCCAACAATCTTTATGCTTGAAATAGTAGATATGAACCCACTTAACCCAAAGATTATCATCCTTGTGAGCAATATCCCAAAGTAACTTAATGACAGCTGCTTTATTCCACTCAGGAAGAGAAAGCAGGTTCCAGCCACCGCAAACTTTAGGAAGACAGACATTATTCCAAGCAACCAAAGACTTCTTAGCTGGATCAAAGGATCCAGTCCAAAGAAAGCATCTAAACCTAGCCTCAATCTCTTTCAGAATTTTCTTCGGAAGAATAAAAATTTGAGCCCAATAAGTCTAGATACCAAACAACACACTCTTCACCAATTGAAGCCTCCCAGCATAGGACAAGTGTTTAGCCATCCATCCTTGAATTCTAGTAGTGACTCTATCCACCAAAGGCCTACATTGAGCAATAGTAAGCTTCTTTGAAGAGAGAGGGACCCCAAGATACCTAAAAGGAATGGAGCCTTGAGAAACACCCAGAAGCTCCCTCAACTCATTCTGAACATCAACAGAGACTCCTCCAAAGTAGACTTCACTTTTATCAAGATTAGCAGAAAGCCCAGAGGCACCCGAGAATTTCGAGAAGGCTTGGAAGAGAAGCTTAACAGAAACACTATCAGCTCGAGAAAACATCAATAAGTCATCAGCAAACATCATGTGAGTTAGGTTTAACTTTTCACATCTAGGGTGAAAGTTAAAGTCAGGAGACAACCTAAGCTCATCAAGGCATCTGGAGAAGTATTCCATACTGTTTGGGGGTAAAAATACCCCCTATATATGTGGACCAATGCCACCTCGACACGTGTCCGCAAGCTCAGCGCTCAATGAGCCAATTAGAGCATGACACGTGTCACTCAATGATAGAATGGTGAAAATGGGCTCTAAGTTCATAACCCTAGAAATCGTAAAACGGTGGGAAGCCAATCTACTTAGGTTAAATAACCTAAAAGGCACATATCCCAATGCTCTATAAATACTGATCATTACATCAGCTTTAAAGGATCCAATTCTCTCTCCAAGGGAAATGCCCCCCACATTTACTCTCCCTTCTCTCTACTTTCTCTCTCTAAAATACATTATTTCGGTCACTGACTTGATCGTCGGAGGCGGACCTCCGTCCCCCCCGGGGTCCATTGTTTTGCAGGTGATCGGGCCGTTCGAGTGTTGCATTGCAGATCTGTCTCCTGAGGGACGTACACACCCTTCATTCGGGTACGTACAAAAAAAACCCCAAAACATTTGGCGCCGTCTGTGGGGAGACACATCTGTAATGGCACAACGGTTGTGGATCACCGACTCAAGAGAGGAGCCTCCTTTGGGAGGCAGCAGGCGTCATGAGGCCGGATGTCAAGTACATCAGGCGTCATGAGGCTGAATGTCGAGAGTCAGGCGGCCAAAAAGGCCTGTTAGACTAAGTCATGCATATTTGAAGGTTAAAGGGCAATGCCGTTTAATCTTAATTTTATTAGGGGAGAGACGGCTAAATTAGTCAACTCCAATACTTTAATCCGACTCATTTAATGAGCGGCCGCATGCTATGGCCACCCAGCCGGATCATACAGCCGGCCTTAATACTATATTTGATTATTAGTTTGATACTATCAACATCAAATCAATTGTATTATTATATACATAATATTATACAATTGATTTTCAAGAGTAAACTCTTTTAATTAGTGGGGTATATGCATGCGGCAAGTGTACTCATGCATTTCCACACTTCCAAAATTGTAATACAAGAGATACGGCCAAGCTTGCAAGCTATATATCCTTATTATCAAATCATTATTATGATTGTATAAATAAGAAGCTAGGCGGCAAGCGGTCTATTAAATTATTTAATAAATTAATTGCTTGTTGCTAATGAAATAACATGAGCCTACAATTAAATGTTTTGCATAATTGACAGTATCATGCGGCATTTACATACGACAAGTGAGATACATTTCCATACTTCAAGTTTTTGACAGCTATCAAAGTTAAATTTATTAAACTCCACATTCTACTCTTGAGTGGACTCAAGAGAATAATATAGGCGCTCATGAGAATAATGGATAGTATCAATATGCTTTTTGATAAGCTTGTATGTATGAACTCGTGTTTGTTAGCAAGCGTGAGGTGGCCGAATCTCAATGAAACCAAAGCAAGAGAACCACCAAGCGGCCAAGCTTCTTTCTTGTGTTAGCACACACAAGCGGCCAGGCTTTTTCTTGTGGTAGCATATACAAGCGGCAACCATATGCAGGCGGCATGGGGCAGCTTTGCTCCAATGGTGTCAGCCAGTGATTGCTAGCAATGGTGGCAGCCGGTCAGAGTCATGATGGGTGCCTCAAATAAACGGCTGCCATGGCTGCATCGCGCTTCAATTTTTCCCGGCTATAAGGGCAGCCTTACTCCCTAATTAAGCCCGCCTGCAGGGGTGCTTTGTTCATTCCCAAGCCCAGCCGTGAGGGTTTCTCTATGCTTCAATCAGACCCAGCCGTAGGGTCTGCTTCTTGATTGCCTCATTTATGCCCGGTTGCCATGGTTGCTTTGTTCAACCTCAAAGCCGGTTGCAATGGCTGCTATATTATTCATCGTTATTATTATATAGCTGCTCCATTTCTTCTTCTTGCCTTAACAAGTCAGACTCGGTAATTATAGCTAACTAGCAGAGGTGGTTAGCAAGGATGGAGCCGGTCAGCATCATCAAACATAGTCGGTCAGCGTTATTAAAAATGTCAGCCCGCCTGTGTTCGATTTAAACCTTGTACAAGCGGCAAAGCGTTTGGTGTGTGCTTGGCCCCAAACTACTGTGAGTATCAATAGGGTCAGCCGGTTACAATCATCAAGTTATTAACCCGGGTTCAGCACACTCCATACCGCCTGGGTTGTAGCCAATTAAACCCGGCTATGGGGGTTGCTTTGAACAACCTCAAAAACGGCTGTGAAGTGAGCTAGCAAGAGCTTTGTAAACTTGTTCAAGCGGCAGCCAACCTAAGCAAGGGTCAGACGGCATAGAAAGCCGCATGTGTGATCAGAGCAAACCTATTTCTCGAGCTAAAAGCTTTTTGACATCTCATGCTCGCTTGTCATCATTTGAAGAGCTCATTCTCATGAATCAAGCAAAGGGCAGTTTTCTCCATCAAATTTAATCCGGCTGTAGTTGCAACTCTTTTGGCCAATTTACCCTGGTTGCCAAGGCTCAAGTGCTCGTCAAATATTCCCAGCCGTGGGATGCTTTGTTCATTCTCAAGACCAGCCGAAGGGGCTGCTTGGTTGTTCATTAAGAGCGGTTGTGTCTTTGATTCTTTGAGTTCGATGACAGGGGCTGCGTTGTTCATCAACACATCCCCCTGTTTTGATTAAAAAATCATCAAGCATTGTCTTTTCTTCGGCTGTAGTGGCAGCTTTGCTCATCACAAAAGCTGGCTGTATGGGCATCCATGCTCAACAATTTACCCCGGTTGTATGGGCACCCAGGCTCATCAACTAATTCCGGATGTAGGAGTTGTTTCCGGCCTCAACAAAACCGGCTATGAGGCTTCTTTATGCCTCAACCAAGCCCGGCTGAAGGGGCTGCTGCATTCAACCTCAAGAACGGCTGCAATGTCATGAAGAATTAACGGGTGTATCACCCCTTAAGCAGCGTTTGTGCGTGAAGCCTAGTTGGGCTACCATGCAAAATTGCAAAGCATTATTATGAAAAAATCTTGCTTGGAGTTTTCTTGAGACGGACAAACAACATCAATGTCGGGCTGCCTTGTGCATCCTCAAGCCTGCCTGCAGTGGCATTGTTGCTCATTAAGTAAGCTGGTTGTGGGGGCTGCTGTTCTGCTTTGTTCACCAATAAAATCCGGCTGCCATGGCTGTTTTGTTCAACCTCAAAGCCGGCTGCCATGGCTGCTTTGTTCATTAACCAAGGCCGGCTGTATGTGCTGCTAGGGGCTGTTAAAGTTTGCCCGACTGTAGGGGCTGCTTGGATCAAGCGCCTGACACTACCCATTACCCAAAGCAGCTACAAACAAGAGAGTTCTATTGTAAGCTTAGTCTATTCAAGCAAAAGTCGACCAACCTTTGAGAACTTGTGTTCGAGCTTGTATGAGTTAGCATAGGCGGCAAAACTAAAATGAAAGCAAGCGCCATGAAATAACAAAAGCCGCAAGACACTACAGCAAAGAGCTTGTAATATCTCCGGCTGTGATTGCATATGCTTGTGAGGCATTTAAAGAGCCAGAAGCTTAAGCATGCCAAGCGGCATATATAGGTTTAAGCCTAGCCGAATGTATATGGACTTAAGCTTGTAAATTTTGGCATTGAAATTCCATCTAAGACCAAGAGGAATTAATTTATGCGGCACCCTCACTGACACTAAGAAAGCCGCCTCTCAAGTTCATGGCAGTCAAGTATGGAATACTATTAATTGTTGCCCCATGCTGCCAAGTTAGGCGTGTTAAGAACAAATGTGGCATGCAAAATACAAGTATATGTCAAGGTGCCTTGTAACTATTGAGCTGGTACCATCAAGCCCTAACGAGGTAACTTTTTATTATTGTTAGTATTGACATTATTGAATATTAATTAATTGAATAAACTAAGTTATAAACTTAGTAGCGAAATTAACGTTCAAGTGACGTGAGGCCAATGGCCGGATAATAAACTAAGTTTGAAACTTAGTAGCTAAACAAACTTCCAAGTGACGTGAGGCCAATGGCCGGATAATAAACTAAGTTTGAAACTTAGTAGCGAATTCAACGTCCGAGTGACATGCGGCCAGTGGCCAGATAACTAAACTAGGCACAAAACCGCTTAGTGGCTATACAGCCGGTCTCAACCTAGACCAGAAGCCAATGGCCGGATGGTTGCTTTTTTCATAAAATCGTCTGTCCCAACATGGACAATGGCGTCCAGCGACACCCCTCCGGGTGCAATCGTCGTAGAAAGCACTCTTATCGTTTGCTTTACGTACGCATGCAGGCGGCAAAAATTGAACGACCTCATTGGTCAACTCATAGCCTCCTGACCTGGGTAATCTAAAGAACGACCAAGTCTTCGGGAACCGGATGTCCAAAAGACATCAGCCGATGATCGACCAAAGTTCTAACCTAGATTACCTTCCGAAATTATACAAGTCCTCCCAATGGGGTAGAAGGACATTAAGAGTATAATTGGATTACAAACACCCCAGACGGCCATTTGCCTCCTGCCCTATGAAGAGTCAGGCGGCCATTTGCCTCCTGCCCCTAGGCGGCATTTGCTTCCTGCCATGTGAAGAGTCAGGCGGCCATTTGCCTCCTGCCCCCAGGCGGCCATTTGCCTCCTGCCCTGTAAATAGTCAGGCGGCCATTTGCCTCCTGCCCTATGAAGAGTAAGGCGGCCATTTGCCTCCTGCCCCCAGGCGACATTTGCTTCCTGCCCTGTGAAGAGTCAGGCGGCCATTTGCCTCCTGCCCAGTGAATAGTCAGGCGGCCATTTGCCTCCTGCCCCCAGGCGGAATTTGCCTCCTTCCCTATGAAGAGTCAGGCGGCCATTTGCCTCCTGCCCCCAGGCGGCCATTTGCCTCCTGCCCCCCAGGCAGCCATTCGCCTCCTGCCTTATGGGATGTCAAACGTCTCAAAAATATTCTAAGTCTCTCAAAGGTCATATGACCACCATAGTGGGGCTAAAAGAAATAAAAGTCGTCATCTGTCTAGTTCAGGCGGTAATCATTATTATGATTGATTAACTTAGAAAATATCATACCATTTAAGGTATCAGATTTTCCAAGT